GTTTAAATTATGATGTAGTAAAGTCTGCTATCCTTGCTGCATATGAACTTGTTCCAGAAGCATATAGACAACGCTTCCGTAACCACAAAAGAGCAGCAAATCAGACTTTTGTGGATTTGCTTGTGAAAAAGCAACTCTTTTTGACAAATGGATTTCAGCAAGTAAAGTTACGTAACAATATAGAGAACCCATTTATATTAGATTGACTGTTTAGATAGAGTGACCATTTATATAGAGGGACTGTCACACCAGACTCCAGTCATCTCATCAAGTGAGTCCAACATGATGACTTGATTAGATGAATGGAGTCTGGTGTGCTATTGCTTGGTTGGAAAGAAGACCTGCAGCCACACGGCGCTTTCTGGAACCAGTTTGACACCCCTGGTATAGAGGGGCCGTTTGTATAGAGGGGCCGTTTGTATAGAGGGACCGTTTATACTGTATAGAGGGACTTTTTATATAGAGGGACCGTTTATATTAGAGGAACCCTTTATATTAGAGTGACCATTACATCAGAGGGACCATTTATATGGAGGGACCATTTAAATCGAGGGACCGTTTGTTTTAGAAGGACTGTTTATATGCAGGGACTGTTTACATAGAGTAAACAGGCCTCGGCGAACAGGCCAATGCGAACAGGCCAATGCGAACAGGCCAATGCGAACAGGCCTCGGCGCTGCTTTATGACGTAATCCAGGGATGGGCAATTCCAGTTCCTGAGGGTCGGTATCCTGCAACTTTCAGATGTGCCATTGGTCCAACATACCTGAATGAAGTAATTGGACGATTGAGAGGACTCTGGAGGAACTGACTGCATACTGAGGAGGGAACTCAGCCATTTGATTCAGGTGTGTTGGACCAAGGTTGGATCCAAAGGTTGCAGGATACCGGCCCCCAGGAAAGCAAATTTCCCAATCCTGACATAATCGGCTGATGAATCTGGCCTTTGGAGGACGCAGCCACTGGATTCAAGCACAGCCGCCATTTATATAGAGGGACCCCTTAGTTCTGAGAAGTTGTTTTTAGAGTATAAACAAAGTTGGGGATCTTTCATGAATTTTTAAATTTGATTAATTATTTGGCCAAGTAAT